TATGTATGTATGTATGTATGTATGTATGTATGTATGTATGTATGTATACATACACACACACACATCCATTATCTATCTATATCTACTGTATATCTATAATATCACCTCTCCTTCTCTCTATCCACCCATCCATTATCTATATATATATATCTTCTCTCTCATCTTTCTGTTTCTTCCACCCACCCACCCATCCATTATCTATTTGTATATCTACTGAATATCTCCTGTATATCAATATCTAGCTATCATCTATCGATCTGTCACATTTTTGAGCTGCCCATCTCTCTCGCCCTTGCCAGCAAAATGTTCTCAGCCAGCCTCCCACCTAATTTCTCTAAATCTATGCTTTTCCTTTCAGGCTATGTATCAAAACAAACCTTGGTGTAATAGCGACCACTGGATTACACCCCGCCATGGTAATGCATTTCACTCGGCGTACATGTTTTATTCTCCAAGCAAAAGTTATGTACATGTTGAGCCTGTGTCAAAGACTTTAAGCTGTGGCCACCGTGAGCCGGTTCGGGTGCGGTACATCCTTAACCAAGGTGATGAGAAGGAGGACGAGATTATCTTCTATTACATGGTGAGTCTTCAGGCGAAGGCTGCATTCACAAGTGTCACATGTGTCAGCATGTTTGCTTCGCTTTGTTAAACAGCCATTAATCAATGGAAGGGACTTTGGAGGACTTCTAGTCTAACCCCCTGTTCAAACAGCAGATCCTATACCCAGGGGTGGGAGTCTACCAGTTCACACCTATTTGCTAAAACCGGTTGTTAACATTCTAAACAGTTTGGAGAACTGGTTGTTAGATGAAATTCTACGGGGTGGCTTAACCCCGAAACCAGCCAGCTCGGGGCACTCCAGTGGCGAGCTTAGACCGAAACCGTGCACGATTGCAGATTTCTGTCTGTCACCAAAGGAACTCAAACCGGAAGTCGGGTTTTCCATGATTTTGGAAGGTGATTGTAATGAGCTGAAATAAAAGCCACAGAGACAGGATGCCCACTGAGAAGAGCAGATTCACACCAAGTTAGTTTTCAGAAAACTCAAGAATGGCGTGCATGCATTTCTACTTAGGAAAGGCCCAGAGATCCAAAAGCTGTATTCACAGAAAATACTAATCAGGATTAATGCATATGTGTGTGTATGTCTTACGATACTAAGACAGGCTTCTCCAACTTTTCTGGCTTTGTGGACTGGTGGGAGGGGATAGAGGGGATATTTCCATGTGAGTGTGGAGGTGGGCATGCACGTGCTCACCTGCCATTTCCATGGCCTGGTTCCGAATAGTTCAAGGCCCAATAATAGTGGGCTGCCGTCCGGGGTTAGGAACCCCCATGCTAAGATATGGATAATTTCTGTAATATTCAATTCCAGAAAACCGATTCATTTGCTAATTGAAGTATATATTGTACAGATAATCCCTGAATTAAAACAATTTTTAAAGTGGCCATTCGAAATTATAGCTGCACTGAAAAAAGTGACATTACCATTTTTCTTCTGACCATTGCAGTTAAGTTCAC